GCATTACCTCCCCTGCTGGGCCCTTGCAGATGTGCCCCTTGATAATTTCCTCAAAGGTCTTCCCAAGGACCAAGGTAAGACTGACTAGCCTATAATTGCCGGGGTCCTCCTTTCTCCCCTTCTTGTAAATGGGGACCTTGTTGGCCCTTTTCCAATCCTCTGGTACCTGTCCAGAGCCCCACGAGTGCTCATAGATCCGTGCCAGGGGCCCCCTATGATCCCTGCCAAGTCCCTCAGCACCCTCGGGTGAAGAGCATCTGAACCTACTGATTTAAACACGTCCATCCCCTCCAAAAATTCCCTAACTAGGTCATCCCTGACCCTAGGCAGGAGCAGGTCTACAAGGGGGGGCTGCACACACCCGAAAATTCATGGTAGCCCCCGCCCCACATAAATCATAATCAGCTGGGCTAATTACTGTCAAAGCAGATCACCAACCTGTGGCACCACCAGAAAATGCCTCCTAATAAATACAGTCCCCAGAGGGTTCAGGTCTGCTAATTTCTGATGCGCTGGACCACTAATGAATAAAATTTCAAGCTGTATGAAGTTTCTTTGTTTCCTGTCAGTCACCTCGCTGACATCCAGTCTCTATTCTGTTTCCCCCAGTCATTCTGTACTTTGCCATTCATTTGAGTTAGAATTATGTCTAAAAATGTCAGCCGAGCAAACTGGTTGGAATCTAATGCATGACGTTCTTTATTTCAGCTGCTGGTTGCCTAGTCATGCATTAAAATGGCCAGACCTCAAGCAAAAGAAGGCTGTGTTTGCAACATCTCACCAGCCAAGTAGAGCTAATGGGGAAAGCAGGATATTCACATTATCATCAGTAGTGTGGGAGAGAGATTGAAGCTCCTTGACCTTTTTAAATAGTTGCATACCTCCTCCTGCTGTTATGTAGGATAAGCAGATGTCATCACCTGTGACCATGTCATCTCAAAGACTCTTGTCAATGTTCCTCTTTCCTGGGGCTACATGGACAAAGACACATCTACCTAAATTATCTTTTAACTGACTGGTAAAAAATATGGTTATATTTTAAATGGACCTAAGAACACATCCTGTATGTGGAATATGGAGGACTAAAATCTGCTCTCAGTTGTACCTAGGCCACCCTTGGGAGAAGATGTACTTCCAAGAGAGCTAATCAAGTCCTCATGGCCTGCTAATCTCATTGTCCCACCACGTGTACTCATTTGTTGGTGTTTTTACATCAGTTTCAAAACTCATGTGTCTAAAGAGCAGTTGCAATTACAGCTACATTATTTTTTCTACGTTCAATACATCTTGCGAGCAGTTTCAAGCAGCATTTTTTATGCTTTGGCTCCAAGCAGTAAAAAAATACATAGAAAATTCAATTATCTTCTAAAGAGTTATTGAGTCAGATTGGAAGAATAACATTTACCCATTTCATGTGAAACAGATGCATTTTAATCTTGCATGTAGTGATTTTTTTTTCCTAGCACAAGCATCACTATCGGTACGCTTACCATTTCAGGGATAGTCATATGGAATATCTTTCTGTCTGTGATCTGATGTTACCACTCATTACTATAATGGTTAAGCACTAATACCTTAGCCTATTACTTATTCTAATTTGATGATGAGCGTCTTTTTAAAACTGTTTTGCTTTATTTAAATGCAGTGTGCTAAATACACAATCAGAGACAAATAAATATGTATTGAGATCTCCCACCGCATGCATAAATCAGAGCCTTTGCACATTTTAGCACAATGGCACCATTATGTTGGCTCCTTCACAGACGTGAAACAAGGCATTATGAACAGAGCTTAAGAAAATTGGTAGCTGTGCGTGTTAAAGCGGTGATGGGGGGTTTTTAACCATCATGTCTTCCCTTCCCTTGCACGGTGCGTTGCTTCATGCTGTGGAACAATCAAACACAGATATAATTTTAAGCATTTAGATAGTGCACTGATTCCCTTACTTAGAGTTATGTTGAGTGTGTTTGGTAGAAAGCCAGATCTGTAAAAGAACTTAGGCACATAAGAGTGGGATCTCGAGTGCCTAAACTACACTTAAAATCCTGAAAGCTCCTTCGCAGCTGTCCCTAGTTTTGCCCATTCCCCAAAACCCAGAGGCACTTCCATTTTTTACCTTAGAGTTCCCCAGAACCCAGAAGTGCACTTCTGAGTATACCCAAAATTGCCTCCAGTTTGACAGTGTTGAACAGTTCAGTGTCTAGCTCATATCTAAACCCACCGGTGAGCCAGAAATTCAGTTTTCCTTGCTTCATTCCACTCCCCCGACGAGCCTAATCCAACAGACATTCATAGAGCACAATATCAAGCGTCATCTACACCCACAACATCAAGTTCCACCTAAAACGTGATAGCAACTTCTTCTTTCCATTAGAACATGAGCTTGGAGGTCATGGTGGGAGAATAGCAGCAGTACCTCCTTTTATACAATAGCCTAGTTCAGAGCACTTGCCCACAATGTGGGGGACCCTTTAGGCTAGGGACAGAAATTATACATAAACAGGTATAAGTGATCCAAAATTGGTTCAAATCTGTAACACAACAGAAGTTTGGCACACATAAACTGCTTTCAAAATGGCCCAAACCAGTTTAAGATAAACCTGGATGGATGTAGTATCAGACTTCACTGATTTAGGTTAAATTGTATGATTGAACTTCTGTCCCATATCCCCTCCGGATTCATGTTAACTCCCAGTCCCCCAGTATGCCTTGCACCTTCCCCCACAAACTCCCACCTCACAGGGTGTGCGGACTAGCCTCGGTCCAAGCTGTCTGCTCCCAGCAGAGTAGGAAGACATGCTCCTGTGCCCCCTGCCCCTGCTTGTGTCCTGGGCCACCACAGGTATGTGGCTGTATTTCCAGAATCAAAAGTAAATGTTTGTTCAGTTGCTTATCGGTTCAATCTATATTATTAGCCTAACCTGCAAAGATTGAATTGATTCAGCCTCAGACTTTTTGACTGTCTGTACTTAGCCTTAAACAACATGCTTAAATATTCATGGTACCACATGAGGTTCTCCATCCCAGAGAAGTGCGCTAATCAGTAGGCTATGGTCACTCATAAGGTTGCTCACTGCCTCTGCTCACCGTGTACATTTAATACATCTATTTAAACTGGAATGGCTTCAACAGGAAACCTGAGGAAGTCTGTGGTGCTAGATAGCTTAGTAGGGCAGTTTCTGAGATGGTGGGTGATATGGCTCCAAGTCCTCTTAAGCAAAAGATGAGTTTGAATTCATTGGCTGCATCCCCATGAGCACACATGTGCAATTTGCATACATTCATCACACTGGTAATTTGCAGTATAGTGGGGTTTTTTGACACCAGGTGATCCCAGTGTCAAAAATACCATGTCAGAAAAAGCAGGGGGATGCATGTGTGCACCACCTGAAAATGGAGCCTGGCCAGCCAGAGCCACGTTCCAGTTGCCTGCCAGGCTCTGTGCACCGGCATCACTACCACTGCAATCCTGGGAGGCCTCCAGGACCCCAGGTAAAGCTGCTGGGGCCAACCCAGGTGCTGGCCCCAGTCTCCCCTCGTGCACAGGGGCAGCCCTGGGGACAACTACCAGGGGCACAAATATGTGCTGCTGCTGGTTGTCCCCAGGGAAATGCATGTTCCCGCTCCTGGGGAATGTCCTGCTCAAATCCTTGACTCTATTAGGCTAAAAGGCAATAGAGGAGAACATCAAGCTTCACCCCACCTTCTTCTTGCGTTTCGAGCACGGTCTGATGCGGTCGGCACCCTCTGGGGATGCACATGCAAGGGGACTCGCAGAGGGGGAAAGCAGGGCCGTGACTCTCAAGAGCGGGGTTAGCTCTAGTTCAGCGATTCTCAACCCAGGAGTGCAACCACCCCGGTGGCACGCCTTGAGATCCTTTCCGGGGCACCACACCACCTCCGCTCTGCCAAGCATCCCAAGATCAACCCCAGTGGGTCTAATAAAAGGTATTTTTGATCTGTTCGGATCCCTTGCGACCCTGGAAACTACGAAACTATCATTTTGGCACCAAGAGTTCTAGTTGTTTTGTGTGAAGCGAAACACCAAATGATCAAGGGGGAAGCCAGAGCCTTAAAAAAAGAAAAGAAAAGATCGCCCCCCCCCCCCGTGCTCCAGCTCTTTGCAGCACACCAGCGGCTCGCTCCTGTTCGCGGAGTCAAACATTTTGGCCAATAAATCAATAATAAAGTGGGCTGCGGGTGGGGGCATCTGAGCAGCACTCCAGATTTGCGCGCCTCAGTCCCTTAGCCTGCCTGCCACCTGCTCGGGTAGGAGCCCCCGCACCGCTGGCGCACAGCTGGCGGGGGGCGGGGCCGCGGGGCTCCGGCGCTTCGTCACAGCTTGGCTCAGCCCCCGGGGACCGCGGCGCCGCTACTCGGCGCATTACGGCGGGGCGGCGCGGGCGGGCGCCCCACACTCCGCTCCGGCCGCGCGTGCAACAGGAGCCGCCGCCGC